ATAATTATTAAGTGTCATCATTCTGTACATTACGGTGTTGTGAATCCTGTCAGTCTTAATAGTAGGGGAGGCCAACCGGGGATTTTGGGATTTACTCGAGCGCGTCAGAATAACATAAAGGGGGAAAGCTTGCACCCTAATAAGTACCCCCACCAAATATTAAACCTCTATATAGAGCCGGGGGTCCAGGGGAGCCCGTCAGATTAGTAAAAAAAAATCGATCGTTCAAAAAACTCGAGCGCGTCAGATTAAGGTATGGTGTGTTAATTACATGTAGAAAAGTGTACATTTCAATAATCTGACGATTTCAGCGTGACGTAAGGAAATGGGAGAGTCACAAAGTTGCAAAAAAAAACGTGACATGGATTTTCTCGAGCGCGGTTAAATTTTTTTTTATTTTGAAGGAAATTAATCAAGGATCACGGGAATAATATAATCTGACGATTTACACAAGCCGAAGTGGCCAAAATCATTAATAAAGTGCGGTGCGCGCAGCGGCTGAGAACTGTGTACTTCCCGCTCCACGCGTCTCTTCCTTTCGAAATCGAATCGATCTTTGAATATGAAGATGATGAATTTACCACTGACGATGAAGACTAAGGGACTTCTAGGTTACTTATGTATCGGTTATTTTAACTTGTTCTTAATGTATATGGTTTCAACCACAAATATGAGAACGGTGTATATAATTTGTATATACATGCATCTTCCCAGAATTTCCTGCACGGAAAAAACGAAATTGTTGAATCTACCATCTAAATAGTAAGATATGCGCCAACGAACGTTTTTTAGTTGGTTTTACTATTAACATAGTAAGCTGCACTATCTACTTTGTTGAAGCTACTATTTGGATAGTAAAATCAACTACAAAAGTTTGTTGGAACATTATCTTATTATTTGAATGGTAGATTCAAGCATTTCATTTTTTCCGTGTGGCTCTGCATTTTTTGTTCAACCATTTTTTCAGCACATTTGTATCTTTCAAAATAAATGCAGAAAAATTTTTAAAAATCAAGTTTTTAGGATGTTTTTTCAAAATAGCGGCGACGATATGGCCGAGCGCCAATTTCTGTTGTCATATTCATAATCAGGAGGCAAAAATATATCGAAAACATGTTTTTTGAATTTCGAACATACAGTCTGTACAAGATTAATGGAAAAAAAATTTTTCAAACCGACAGATTAATGAAATCCCTCCACATAATCGTCAGATTATGGGTCAGCACGTCCAGGACATCAAACTGAACCCTCTGTATCTTAATCTGACGTGCTCGAGTATTTCAAGGTCACGATTTTATTTTGCATTTTCAAAAATCGGCCATGATTCTCGGTCGCGTCCAAATCGTTTCAGTTTTTTGAATAGGAGCTTCTTTAGGGTCCAATTAACATCCCCTATGAAAATCTGACGCCCTCGAGGAAATTTTTTTTTCCCCTTTTTTTGACCCCTTCCTACAGCTAACCCCACCACGCAAACCGTCAGATTTATATTTATCCGTTATCAGAAACACATGGGTCTCTTACACTATTAATATCTGACACGCTCGAGTATTTCATTTTCACTGTTTTTTTGAAAGCCTGTACAC